GGGCTCCTCTGGCCTGGGGGAGGGTTGGGGCTTCTCTGAGTGGGGGAGTTGGGATGAGTGTAGCCCAGGGACTAGCCTCCTGCCAGGGGGTTCTATCCGCTGCCCATGCGCCTGTGTCTGCCTTTTAAAATGCTCAGGCAATTTTTAAAAGGCCTGGCACGTTTCCCAGCTGCCACTACTGTTGACCAGGACTCTTTTAGAGCCAGTGTGATGCCATAGACGCAAACTAGGCAGTCATCTGGGGTGCCAGGCTTTAAAGTTGTGCCAAATTAGACATGAGTGATTTTTTTCTATTAAATGTATTCTTATAAACAACATATTGAATATTATACGTGTAAAATAGTGCATCATTGCCATGACAAAAGTTGAGATTGATTTCACATCATGGCACGTGGCTGTGTATGTAAATACAGTTAAAATGTGTCACAGCATAGCTTCAAAACAGCACCACCTGGCTTTGCTGCCTGGGGGCAGAGTCTGGCAGTTTAGTCAGTAGCCCAGCCTTGACCAGTCATACATGTGAGTAAGTATTGCTCCCCGTTTAGTGAAGGCTGGTCAGCAACCCACAACAGCTGTTCTGCCATATTACAAGCTGTGAACCCAAAGATGCTGTACCCGTGAAGAATTTGTATTGTGTTGGACTTGAAAAATTTGATGAGGTTTTAACAAGATTGTAAAAGGAGAATCACAAATACTTGTAAGATTAAGATTGTATATTTATTGTAAACTTTTGTTGTTAAAGTAATAGCAAAGCCCTGATTTTCAAACATCTGACTGCTAATGTTAAATATCTTTTAACATATGCATTCCCTGCTGTTCTATTGCAATTAATGTTCAATAATAGAAATTCCAGCCTTTTTATTTTAAATAGTTTTAAGTTAACATCTTACATCTCAAGATGTACTTGAAATTTATTTCTGAACAGACAATTTTCACAACATCTTCATTGCTCTTCAAATTCTCTTGCCTTTCACAGTTTCTGTTGCTAGTAGGGGAACGTGGCTTTCCAAAGTTAAAATTGATTAAGACATACCTTTGTTCATCCATGGTGAAGGAGAGACTTGTTGGACTGGCCACCCTCCCGCTAGAACACAAAGTATCTCCTACTTTGTCTCAAAAAACTTATTACCCAATTTGTAAAAGCAAGAGCACAAAAAGCAAAATTGCTAAATGTTTATATAAATCAATGACCCAGTGCAAAAGGGTTATAACTCAAAATCAGACTTCATTCAGTAGCAAGGAAGGAAGATTTCCATAGCTTCCCCCGCCCCCCCCAGCCCCAAAATCAGTTCCTTAGGAAGGAAGACAGTTGCAACTTGAAATACAACTCTTTATAGCACTTGTCACAAATTCAATGTGGGTAAAACTTTAAAGTGTCAGCTACTGAGCAGTTTACCCTATACAGTATAAATGTGTTACAATTAAGAAAAGTAGAAAACATACATTTTTTTAGGGGCTCCTCTGGCCTGGGGGAGGGTTGGGGCTTCTCTGAGTGGGGGAGTTGGGATGAGTGTAGCCCAGGGACTAGCCTCCTGCCAGGGGGTTCTATCCGCTGCCCATGCGCCTGTGTCTGCCTTTTAAAATGCTCAGGCAATTTTTAAAAGGCCTGGCACGTTTCCCAGCTGCCACTACTGTTGACCAGGACTCTTTTAGAGCCAGTGTGATGCCATAGACGCAAACTAGGCAGTCATCTGGGGTGCCAGGCTTTAAAGTTGTGCCAAATTAGACATGAGTGATTTTTTTCTATTAAATGTATTCTTATAAACAACATATTGAATATTATACGTGTAAAATAGTGCATCATTGCCATGACAAAAGTTGAGATTGATTTCACATCATGGCACGTGGCTGTGTATGTAAATACAGTTAAAATGTGTCACAGCATAGCTTCAAAACAGCACCACCTGGCTTTGCTGCCTGGGGGCAGAGTCTGGCAGTTTAGTCAGTAGCCCAGCCTTGACCAGTCATACATGTGAGTAAGTATTGCTCCCCGTTTAGTGAAGGCTGGTCAGCAACCCACAACAGCTGTTCTGCCATATTACAAGCTGTGAACCCAAAGATGCTGTACCCGTGAAGAATTTGTATTGTGTTGGACTTGAAAAATTTGATGAGGTTTTAACAAGATTGTAAAAGGAGAATCACAAATACTTGTAAGATTAAGATTGTATATTTATTGTAAACTTTTGTTGTTAAAGTAATAGCAAAGCCCTGATTTTCAAACATCTGACTGCTAATGTTAAATATCTTTTAACATATGCATTCCCTGCTGTTCTATTGCAATTAATGTTCAATAATAGAAATTCCAGCCTTTTTATTTTAAATAGTTTTAAGTTAACATCTTACATCTCAAGATGTACTTGAAATTTATTTCTGAACAGACAATTTTCACAACATCTTCATTGCTCTTCAAATTCTCTTGCCTTTCACAGTTTCTGTTGCTAGTAGGGGAACGTGGCTTTCCAAAGTTAAAATTGATTAAGACATACCTTTGTTCATCCATGGTGAAGGAGAGACTTGTTGGACTGGCCACCCTCCCGCTAGAACACAAAGTATCTCCTACTTTGTCTCAAAAAACTTATTACCCAATTTGTAAAAGCAAGAGCACAAAAAGCAAAATTGCTAAATGTTTATATAAATCAATGACCCAGTGCAAAAGGGTTATAACTCAAAATCAGACTTCATTCAGTAGCAAGGAAGGAAGATTTCCATAGCTTCCCCCGCCCCCCCAGCCCCAAAATCAGTTCCTTAGGAAGGAAGACAGTTGCAACTTGAAATACAACTCTTTATAGCACTTGTCACAAATTCAATGTGGGTAAAACTTTAAAGTGTCAGCTACTGAGCAGTTTACCCTATACAGTATAAATGTGTTACAATTAAGAAAAGTAGAAAACATACATTTTTTTATTTTATATTCTTTCAAATGACAAGTTAATAAAGATAAAATGTCATTGCAGATGTCTCATTTTTCTCTGTATTTAATGTGGGGAAGACAAATTCATAGTTTGCTTATGCGGTGAAAAACCCTTGGGCTCTACTTTTAACCTCCCTGTTGGCAGCTCTGCTCAGCCCCAGCCAGCCAGGCTCAGCACAACATAGGACAGACCCACTCCCCTATCCTGGCTCAGATCAGCATGGACCCCTGCCTGTCTCATTTCAGCTCCATTCCCAGCACAGCCTAGATCAGCACCAACCCCTCACCTGCCTCAGCCTTGCATTGACAGCATCCTGTTCAGCCTGGCTTAGCACAGCATATGATGAACCCATGCCCAGCTAGCCTCAACACAACCCTCTAACACAACTCAGAACAATACAGACCACTGCTGGTCTCAGCTCAAGCTCCCACCCAGCATGGCTTAGTACAGTCTATTATGGACACACACCCATGTTCCCCAGCAAAGCCTAAACTTCAACCCAGCACTTTCCCTGGCCAGCTCTGCTCAACATCCCAGTCCCTGCTCAGCCCAATATGGAGACCAGCCCAGACTCCTCCACTCTGTCCAGCCCAATGCACCTCACACACAACCTGGGTTAACACAACCTATTACAGCCCCAATCTCCATCCTGGCTTAATAGAGCTGACTACACCCCCACAGCTTGGTCCAAGCTGGGCTATGCTGCACCCTAACCCTGCACAGCCTGGCTTTGTACAGAAAAGGCCAGACCTCCCCACCATCTGCCCTGGCTGAGAACAGCAGAGAACAGACCCCACCCCAGCATGGCTCAAATCAGCCCAGCACACACAGTTACAAAGCTTGGCTTAGCCCAAAACA